GGCCCTTAATGGACTCAGTCGTGTCAGAGACGCCTTCTGGGGCCTCAGATACAATTTTTTTCATGAGACATGGTTATATTTTTCATTTGGGGAGTAGAGGGAGGGTACAACTGGAAAGCACTTCCCATAGATCCACCTGTGCACTGTTTAATATTTATTGGTCACTGCTTAATAATTAATAGATGTATCTTAAGTCTATACTGTATCCTATAACCTCATACCACTGGTGGATCAAAAGGGGAGAACTTTCAGGCTGAAGCACCCTCCCCAAAACGAAAAAATAATTTTTTTTATTGGTCTATAATTTATTTCGTAAGTTATCAGAGCTAAATATTTAAATAATCAAGATGTGTATAATTGTTTTTAAAATTATAACACATATCTCTCAGCTATTAATTTTAAGCACATTTCAAGAAAAAAATTATCCCTAAAAGTTTTATTGTACCTGTAAACAGATTTTCTTTTTTCTTTTTCTTGACAAGAAGCATTTAAACATTATTTTATATAGTTTCTTTTGTTTACTTCCAGATTCCACAATGCCCACTCATATGACTTAGGTCAAAGTCTTGATATGTAAAGGTCATGACAAAGCAGATATATCGGAAAAGAAGAGCAAGGGTAAGCAACCAGTCCAGAGAATAGGGAACCTAATCTTATATTAGAACGTTATGAAACAGGTCTAACGGTAGTGAGTTAACAATATACATGGATCAAAAAGTAATGGCTAGATAGTTAAGAAATGCTGGCAACAGTTGGAATTGTGTCCATAGTATTCAATTCCTACTGTTGGATCTGTAAGAAATTTGGCAACAGGATTGGGGCAGGAGTGTTCCATTCCTTGTGTTGGATCTGTCTGCGAATGGGCTAACGCGTGTGCACTGCATCGCCGTTGCCCGGCAACCGGATATATGATTCTATGATATGAAAATAGTCACGAGTTCGCGTCCTGGTCCCAGAGGGGATTTTAAATTCCCTGCCCTCACCCTCTGGTCCTGGAAAATCCGGTTCGGGAAGAATAGGGGAAAAAAAAAAAAGGTTATTTTATACTTATTTATTGTATATATATTATTATTATTATTATTGTACATAGAGTGTGAATGTGATCTCTGAACACTATTAATAAATGTCCTTTGAGACAGATTGTAATATTTAAAAAAAAAAAAAAAATTACCTCAAAACAGTAGTGAATGAAACTTTCGATATTTAGTTTTCGATACATTTAGAAAAGTAGCATCTACTTCTCTTTTTTTTTTAAATAATAAAAATTTTTTAACATTCAAATTTTAAAAAGTAACAATAAATTAAATAAAAGAATTATTAATTTAATATCTTAAATAATATTATTATTTAATGTAGTTGGCAAATCAACCAAACTGTTAGAGAGTAATTAACTATAAAAATTGGAAATACATAACGAATAAAAATATTTTAAGTCAGTTACTTGGGTCAAGATCTTGTTTATAATATGAACAAATTAAACCATAATTTTTCACAATTGTTTTCTTTGTATTTGTTAAGAAAAATCTGATCAACTAGTCTTCTCTTTGATAACTAGTTCAATTTGAACTCAATGAGCCCTCTTAAAGTGTATTTTGATGAACTTCTTTTGTAAAATTTATAAAATAATCATTTAATATATAATATTAAAGTAATAAAAAAATAATGCATTTTAGTCATGCATGTACTGAAATAATTTATTTAGTTCATTCAATGATTTATTTCAAAATATTTTGTCCTAGTGCAATAAATGTTTTAAAATTTGATATTAATTTTCCAGCCCTTACAGACTTGTTACATTTGAAACAAGAAATTTTAGAAGTGCAAACTTGATAATTTTGTGAAATAGCTAACTGATGTTTCTGCACAGAATATGCCACAAGTATGGAACAAAGAGAATTCTTTGAGAGCTTGTATAAAATTTTTGTTCCATAAGGTTTCTGGAATTGTGGTTTAAAATATCTATTAAAGTAATTAATTTAGTAGAGAATCAGACAATATGTTTAAGATAAATTATAGCTGTAATATAAGCCTATAATATAAATTATCATATGAGCCTTTGAGCTGACAGAATGACTAACTCCAATTTAAACATTTTTGATTATTAATTTTAGCGATATTTCTAGTGGGAAAATTTATACCTTTATTCACAGTTCTATATTTCAACACTAAAATCACTTACTCTGGAATCTAATTATTCACTGTCTATATAGATATCACTTTTCCAACAGGAAATATCACTAAAAAATGTTGAAATTGGAATTAGTCATTCTGTAAACTGAAAGGCACACATAGCTCAGAGACTGAAGTTATGAGGTTTATAAAAACAGTTGGAGTAACTAGAATTTTTTTATTGCCTACCGTCAATATAATAAATAGTTTTTGTTATTTTAATGGTCTTAATGATTTGTTATCTGTAAGCTTTAAGCTTTAGCTCAATTTAAAATGCAATTTTTATCAACATAAGGATAAAAAAAATAGGTGATGCAATTTCTACAACTGCGACTGAAAATGTTCCAACTAGAAATATCACTAAAATGATTTTACTAAAATGTTGAAATTGGAGTCATTCTGTCAACTGAAAAGCTCATACATTTCTCATTAAAAAAAGTGTTTTGTTAATAAGTAAAATAAATAAAAGTTGAACTTCTAGAAGATACTAATAACTTGAAAGAAAAAAAAAAATACAACTTTTATATTAAAGAATATTATGAAAACTGTTGAAATAGCACTTTTTAAAAAAGTTTCAAGGCCTGAATTTAACAATTATTTTCTAGGAAAATACATTTTGAATTTTATAATAGCCCAATAAATATAACATAATTATATATTGTATGATTTTATCTACTTTCGGTGCCATATATTATTTCAGTTCCTGAGCAACTGAACATTTGAACAGATAAGATGGGAGCTGACAGCAAAAACAAATATAAGAAAAAAAAAAATTAATTTAGAAAATGATAACCAAGTTTTTATATGATGACGAGTTCTTTTCCATAAGAAACAAACGAGTTTTTAAAGAAAATAGAGTTGAAAATAAAAGAATACAAAACTGGAGAATTTCTCACTTTCACTTTTTCAATTTATCTTCCAAAAGGGAAAAGGCGATCAAATTAAAATTCTAATAAAAATTAAAATATTGCATTTCAAACAAAGTAGAACATTAAGTTCAATATTAAAAATAAAAGTATACATCTTATATACACCATTAGTAAGGAGAAGATAAAAAACAAAACAAAAATACAAATAATCTAAAACATTTATTTCATATCAAACATATAATACTAAGTAGTACTCATAACAATAAAAAAAGTCTTATACAGATTGTTTCTTAAAATATATATTTATAAAAAAAAAAAAACTCCCAGCAACCAATACCATGCTTTTTCTATCCACTACTCTCCTAACTTAATAGCTTTAAACTACAACAGCACAAAAACTTTTTATGTGAATACAAATAGTACTCTTGATATGACAAAATGTTGAATTAAGTTTTTAAGAAACAATCTTTAATCTAATCATAATACATAGATTGGATATACTTAGTGAGATCAAGAATTTATTTCCTCCAGTCGGCCTCAAGAGTATATCCATAACATATCTTTAATATACTTTTAAAGTAATATTGTGTAAAAGACATTATAACAAACAAACAAAAAAACTTTAAAATACAATTAATAATACAATAACCTTAACTATACATAAACAAATTGTAATATAATAATGTAACAATACTCAAAACTAGTGAGCCAAAATTTTAGCACAAAGCTATTACAAATACCATTTTACAGTTGAACAGAAGCAGTATTATCAGCATTAGTTACTGATAGTATTAAAACATTATCAGCAAAATTTAATAATAAAATGAAATAATAATGAAGTCATGTGATGATAAGGTACCTGCTCAAAGTTTTTAATAAAATCTATATAGATCTGTTCCATTTATAAAAAAATAGTCAATACACTCACATGAGTACACATATATAAATATTACAACTAGTTAAAAACAAAATAGATATATAAGATATCTGCAAAGAATTTATCTCAACAACCCTAATATACAGAACTTATTTTTATTGAAATATAGAATATATATTCTTTATCAGTCTATCTCCTGAGACTAGAGTTATTTTTATAAAGATACAAGGTTTAATGTAAATGATGTTTGAAATTTAAAGTAGTGATAATAGACTTCAAACACAATAGAAAAGTTCATTAGGAATAGGCACAATTACAAACATAGGAGTAAATTTAATTTTGTTAAAGATGGTTTACATTCATTGTAAAATAAGAATTGATGAATAAAAAATAATGAAGTTAGGTAATTCCTACTGTAGCATCATAAACTAAAGATTTTTTTGTTTAAATCAGTAGTTCTGAAAAGATCATAGGCCAAACTTTTCTGTTGCATTTTTGAATATTAATTCCTTGAGTTCAGACATCAATTATGTTACATTCTGTATATTTAAATATTTGTCTACTTTATAATTTAAAATAAAAGAGCTGATTCAGCAAAAATAAAACATATTAAAATATAAGGATGTGCAAACAAATTCATTCAGTCAATATGAAGGGCTCTGTACAACCTGATGATATCAGGAACTGGTGGATCTAGGAACACTGGAAACAAGAAAAGTACAAACATTAACTAATATAATTATCAATATTTTTTATTTATTTTTAAATATTAGATGTCAGTATACTACAGATCTTATTACTATTAATTAAGAAGAATTATTTCTTCTTCACATCTTTCTTATAGACTAATTTAATGAAACAAACTCTTGTAATTTATAGTTTAATCTTGTGATATGTAGAATCCAACAGTGATTTTAAATCTTAAATTAACATTCACATCCCTGAGGATGTAAAATTCCTATTTAACATATCAATATGAATGGAACTCATATTTCTAAATGGATTCTAAAGACATTTTAATAGAAGAGTGGCTAGATTAAAAATTAATATGTGTTAACGTCCAATTTATTTTTTAAATAGATAAACTATAAAGGAAATAGAAGAACTAAAATATTAGTACAAGACAAAAAAGATAGAGTAACTACCTGAATATTTAAATAGGCAATTTAAACTCTGTGACGTGTGATGATATACCTCCTCCTGCATCATTGCAAAGTTCATCATAATTTTCCACTTTGAATACTTGACACCTTTTTAGCAATACTGAGAGAGGACAGCTCAAACCACAAGGCATCTTCATTTGCACTGGAATTTTATCTTTTGGAGTGCGGTAGAAATAAACCTGAAAAAAAGAAGATAATCATCTTAGAAATAATCATTACAATAAAACAACTATCTGTGATAACCATGTGCTGTGTCAACATAAAAAAATCATTCATTTGCATTGTTAATATAAAATGTAATTTATATTTCAATCAATGCAATGATTTTGTTATACAGTTAATTCTGCAGAAAAAGTTTAACAAAATCCCTAACATCCTAAATTTATATAAAATTAAATTCAAATATTTTATGGGAGCAGGATAGGTCAGTTAGGAGTAAGGGACTCCTACTAATCAAGGTCCTAACTTTGAACCCAGTTGTGGTCTTAGAACCCAGATAAAGTAATTATTTATCCTGTTACACCAGCTGGGAAACCTTCCTGCAGCACACCCTAGCTCTCTAATACATAGGCTAATACTCTTCTTAACTAATTACTAAGGGAGAAGGCACAGCGGTTGGATTTGATCTTGGTCAATCGTTTGTCCAAGAAACAGTACTTCCTTACTCATGGCTTCGATGAAAAATACAAGAGAATATTTTGGAATAAAAGCTTTAAATGTATAGACCAAGATATTTTTTATCCTTTTTTTAATTTATAAAAATTAACTTATTTGTATCATCTTTTTTTGAAAGTAATTCTAAATAAGATAATTGATTTAAGCTAAAAATAAATGAAAGAGATTGTCACATTAATCAAGAAAAAAAATCTTGCTTTTTTGTTCCAGAAAAATCACTTGAAAAGCTTTGTCCATTGATATATACTTATTAGAATAAGTATAAGCTTGACAAACTTATTAAAAATAGTTTAATGGTTAAAGATGATGAGGAGACCGTAGAAACAGAAGACAGCCACGGAAATACCAATATTTAAAAATCGTATTTAATTTATGTTCTAGAAAAAAATAGTTGATCGAAAACAATATGCACCTATATGTTTTACATCAAGTTGTAGTGAAAATAACACGGATCATTAATTTAAATAGCAAGCATATAGAAATAATTATATGACTTAGATTATTTTTTTGGGCTTGTCCACTCACATTATGTAACTTGTACAGTTGACTTGGTTAAGACATTAAGAAGTTTCAATCTTAATATTTCTTAAATAAACTTGTATACTTACTTCGAAGTGTTGGCCATCTTTTTTTTCATGAAGCTCAATTGCGATGGCACTACCAGGTTCAGGAAATGAATTATATTCAATATCAAGAAGCATAAAGAGGCTCATAATGTGAATATCGTGCAACGAATGGATTTCCATTTTTCTTGGACTTTCAGTGAAAAAAGTGGTAATTGCTCTTCCAAAGGGATCTAAACAGGAAAAAATATTACAAAATTGTTATTGAAAGTAATGTTATTTTTAAAACATAATTAAAAAAATATGATCTAATATGACCAACAATAGTACCTTGAACAAGCAGCTCCTGAGTTTTTGAACCGGCCAAATAAAATTTAAGATACCTCACAGCTAATACAGCCATCTTCTCAGGGTAGATAGGTTTGAGCCAATCAGGAATTGGTAGATGGGCCCGATCCTAAGTAGAAAAAGAATGTTAGAAAAATAAAGATAATTATTTTCCAAAAATATTTTTAAAAATTGTTTCCTTTTGATCATTTTGTATTCATACATAGCAAAGTTTGAGGTATGCTTTATGCTATATATATTTTTTTCCTATGAAACTATTTCCATTGGTATGTATATGAATAATGCTAATAATATAAAAATAAAAATGAAAAAAATTAACAATATAAATATATACAGATATATACAAAGAAAAATAATAAGTACCTGGAAATAAACAGTGTCCCAAACTCTTGTGAACAAAGAAATAGGTACAGCATCAGGTTCTCCAGAGTTTTCTTTGAGAATTTTTCCAACTTCCGATTCAAAGCCAAAGTCAGCGGGAACATGATTCTTTACATTGTTTTTGAATTCAAGAGCGAACCTTGGGCAGCTACAACCCGATGTTGCCTGGAAATAATTAATTTATTAATCAAGTAAATAATTATACTTATCAGATATTGTTTTTGTAAATAAGTAAATGGAAATTTTATAACAGAAGAAATTACATTTTAATATAATATAAGAATGCCAAAACCTATCAGAATAAAAAATAAAAAATGCATGTCTGTTTGATTAAAAATATAAGGATATTTTATAGTTTTTATGTTGTTAATATTTAAAATTTAAAATATAAAGTATAATGTTCAGATTTTGAGACTACAGTCCAATATATTGCATAAAGTATTTTTAAAGTTATTTAGCATGCATAAATCATAAAAATTATATATTTGCTTTCTATCCTTCTCACAATTTATATTAAAAACATTATTGCTTTTATTTATTTATTTTTGTTAACATTATAATTATTGGATGACTGGAATTATAAGGAACTATGGTAGGTGTGGCAGAATTTTCCAACAATATGTCAAAGAGCTCATCTTCTTATATGTCTATTCTTCCACCTCATTTTTTTGTTAATGATTACTTTCCAGCCTATTGAATGAAACTTGATGGGATAGAAGACTAGAATTTTGAGTGAGTTCTAATCTTGGGTGAGTCCAGTGCCACCAGCTTTAGGGTGGGGCAACTGAGGCAATTGGGGATGCCGGCCGATGTTCAGGAGGCACCTGTCACTTGTTAGAAATATATTAAAAAAAATACAAAAAGTATTACAATAATTAATGTTAGACTATCAATAAAGCAACTGTATTAGAGAAATGTTGAATATATTAAAATTCAAATATTACATAATATAATACAGCTTGAGAAATAAACTAAAGTTTTTAAGGGGGAGAGATGACGTCATTGTCCGGGGGTGGTGAATGTCTAAGGCCGGCACTGGGTGAGTCATGCAGATATGCAGAACAATATTTGCTCAAAGACAACATTAATTACTCATGGATATTAATTAAATTAACTCTTGAAAAGGTGGACAATATAGATTGTAAGTTTTTAATCTCTAGACCTTATTTTCACTTGTATATACATTAACTTGCTAACAAGCAGGATATAGAATTTTCATTAGAAATTACAATTGCAAAAGAGAATACTACTTACATTTACAATATCTTCAGGATATACAGGAATTGGTTGCCAATTCATTTGAGGTTTCCACTCCTGATAAGTCTTCGGTGGGAAGAGGGAAGCCAGGACCAGCTCAGCGGACATCATTGTACGTTCAATAAGGGTAGTGTATGCACGGAACTCCTTTGCCTTATAATGATCACCAGCAAATCTCTGATAGCGTTCCCTTAACCTTTCACCAAGTTCATATGCTTCAATTTTACCAGTCTATAAAAAATAAAATAAATATAAAAATAAAAAGTTATAATATATATTTACATTATGAGTCGCTTATCTCTTAAGTGAGGGAATTCAAGTCTTTCCGAAAGCAGCCCTATTTAAATTTAAATGTCTTTTAATTTCTATTTAAATAATAAGCCATTTTCCAAATAGTATTTCTAAAGTAAAGTATTTCTTAATTAAAATAAAAAAAATTGGCATAAAAAGTTTACATGAAAACTTGAATAGGAAATATACTTTTTCGAGTTTCCTGAAAAAATGTCAATGAAGATTAGGGTTCACTTTAAAAATAAACGACTAAACAAACTAAAATAGATTCAAAATAAATGTATGAAATAATAGGCATTGGTTCTCAATATAAACCACCATATCGACAGTTTACTTGCAAAACCTAATGTCTGCTGCTGAAATGATAATCCTGGAGATACAAAAAAAACTTTAACTCCATTGAAACCTTGTATTTAATTTGAAATGAAACTTGTGAGGAATCGCAGGCACACATACCAAATATGTTATGGGGTTCTTTAAATCGTATGTGATTATTTATTAAAATACTTTGCCAAAACTGAATAATTATAAATAAATACATTACCGCTGTAAGTTCGCCTGGTCCATCGGGCCAATATTTTGCGTTGTCTCTAGGGTAGGGGTCATTCTTGTAAGTGAAACCTGAAGCCCTTGTACCATGTCTAAATACCTAAAATAGAAATTATATTTTATTAATATAGTGAAAAATAATTAGTAAAGTTGACAGTATAATCATTGAAGTAGAAAAAAAAAAGTTTTTATGAGTTAGATTTACAAAAAATTATTTAATATTAATAAATAGCTTTTTTTGCAGTCAGTTCTGTTCAAGTGGCCCATGTTAGTATTTCTGTTTTCATTTTTTTTTTCACATTTTTGAACCATTTATAAAAGTTTAAAAAATAAAAACTTTTTCTAAGTTTTTTGGCAACATAATGATCCTCGTATCGATTCATAAGTTTCTGGCCTAATATTCTTTAAATAAGATAAGCATTCCAAAATATATTTATACCTATAAGTGGACGCTAAAGTCAGTGGGTCATCGATTTCAACCAATTTTTTTTATGGCCCTAGGAGCGGAGAAAAAAATATATTTTAAATAATTTCAAACAAAATTTATATTTACTTCTGCTTTGCCTGGATTTTTATGTTTATTACATGTCTATGATTCATATTTTAGTTTTCTTTGGAACTCTTAAATATGAATTTTCATAGAAATCTAAAATTGCAAAATTTAATACTTGATTTTCTTAAGAGGATTTTTTTTTTTTTTTCGGCCGATAACTAAAGCATTCATAACTTCTCAGGATTTTCTCCAAATTCCACTCCTCTCCATAACTATTTGATTTAATTCATTTTTAAACTAGATATTAAGAAAAACTTTCTTTCTTTCTAAAGAAAATTTACTCTAGATCCCAGACCGGTTTTGAATAAATATTGTATTTGGAAGATATAATATTTATTATATTATTATTTATAACACAGTTTGGACTGACTGACGTAGCAAAGTGGGAGTAAATATTATGTTAGAGAGAAATCGTTCTCTAATCCCATACGACAGAAATGACTAAGTACGGAGTAAAAAAAAAAAAGGGATATGCTTAGTAGCTTAAGTGTCGTTTAAACTAATTTATTTAAAGTCTAAAATATTTTGATGTCTTTATTTATCATATTTTTGAGCTATTACACGTTTTATAACATATGGGGAGCAAGTCGGAAAATACGGTGATAAATATAAGACTGGATCCAATGAGCTATATTGAAAGGACTAGGATAAGAGGGCACATTCCCTTTCGAAGGTCTTACTTTTTTGTAGCAGTTGTCCCTTTCTGATAGCCCTACCAGCCCTTTCTAGAGGCAACAATCCTCTTCGTCTAGACCGGCTGAAGGACAGGTCCTCGTCTAATCCGAACTTCAAACCGAGTCTAATATATACATGGAGGAAGTAAAAAAAAAAAAAAAAAGAATGGTGTTAATTAAACTATTATAAATTTTTTGTTTTATGCTTCAACAAGAGACTTCTTGTTTTTGATTCCGAAATTTTAAATAATAGAAAACGTAAAAAAAAGAAAGAAATTTAAAGAAAAAATTTAACTGATTAATTTTCAAATAGTTCGGGAAAATATTATTATCATTCAAAATTGTATAGCTATTTTATATATTTTTTTAATTCATCCGAATAAAATATAGATATCAATTAAAAAAAAGCTTTTATAAGTCTCACGAATTACTACTTGTTTCCTATTTTGAAATTTAATTAAAATTGAAAAAAAAAAAAAATCCTTCCAAAAACTCATAACCACATTAAAATGTGCCGCCTCAAAAGTTCCATAAAAATTTTGTGCGCAAGTTGAGCCATCAAAACTTTTGAGGGGGGCATATTTTGATGGGTTTTTGTATTTTTTTGAGGGAAGACAAATTTCGACGGGTTAATGAATTTTCGGACTAAGGGACAAGAGGAAAAACATTGAACATACAGTAGCAAGTGTAACTGTATATGATCTACGATTTTTCTATGTTTTATCAGAGAAATACGATTATGTTTTTAAAATAGTGTTTGCTAACCATCTATTCGTAGTACACCAGCCATTTCGCCATTATATATATATATACACACTTAACGAAACATTATGAATCTAATTGCGATTTTTTAATAAATATAAATTCTGTTGTTAATATAATTTTTTTATTATTATTTTGCATGCCTTTATCAACCAAAGGCCTTAAGGCTACAAACATATTGGCTTAGACAATTTTTAATCACATGGTAAGAAATCTTCTTTTATCAATCTTCCAATAATATATTACAATATGAGTAGCTCAATATTATCATGACATTTCATCTATAATTCATCTAAATGATCTATTTTGAAATATTGACTTGATGAGAAAGTTCAAAATTAATCGCATTGATGATCAGCACGATTATATTTTCACATTTCTATTCATAAGAATTATCACAATGGATATTTTAGGCAATGTTATCAACAATAGTCGATTATATTTTTACAAATTAAATAGAAAAAGACCAATATAATTATTTGTAGATCATTGAAAATAAATTCTAGAACAATAAATATTCGGGCTATACCTTGGGTACAACTGGTGGCTGCTGTTACAGCTGTAAGGGAGTGATTTTTTGTTTGTTCACAGTTCTAGAGGCTGGTATGTAAAATTCATAAACTGGTGGTTAAAGGATAATAACACTGGAAATTCAATATTAGGTTTGTTTGGAACTAAAACAATAAACCTAATCAATCAATCCCACACACTTTACGTAGGAAAACTTTTGCTTAATTTATATTAAATTCCAAAATTGATTGAAAATTACATAAACCTTGACTTTATTATTTTTTTTTTTTAAATATAAAACACAGTATTAACAAATATTAAATTACGCCGATTTAATTGTAATGAAAATAAAATTAAATACATTTTATATAACTACCGAATTAAAACCTGATCATGTCTGTTGGTTACGTCTTTAAAGTGCAAAATCTTGATGTCATCAACACCTGTGTTTAATCTTTGTTAACAAAAAAATATCTAATACGTTGTTTGCTTTCGAGGCTCGTATAAGGTTTCGTAATAGGTCTCCCGAAAAATATCTAGAAATCTTAGAAAAAATCTCAAATTAAAGGATTACAATGCTTATATAAAGCCAGTTCTGGCATACTGTTGCGAGACCAGAAGTATTGAAAGATTTGGGAGGAAATTCCTTCACCATAACAAGAGCAATCTGGGACCGGATTAGCAACACATAAAGACCAATAAAGAACTGCTTATAGAAACTAGTCAATCAATATCTCATGATATGAAAGCAAGGATGTTAATAAGGGGGGGGGGATGTTCATGTAGTTCAAAAAATTCCTTCAGGAAGCCTTTGCACAACAATAAATACATCAATAGTAGGCAAGACACCATTTGGAAAGCCAAAAACTAGATAACTGGAAAGAAATAGTCCAATATAAAAAGAGGCGGAAAAGGTTGTTTAAAGCGGCGAAAGATCTACAAGATCTGAATGACAACAGAAATTCAATGATTTACAGTATCTTAGTCATTTTTTAGAATGTTCCCATCCTAATCTGGTAAGAATTAATACATAAAAAGGAAACTCTTGCAAAATGCTGACTATAAGTGTATTATTACGGTAATGGAATTTCGGTAGATGTTGTTTGTTAATGAGATAAGAATGAGTCAGATTTGTATGGCCTATTCTCCGTCAGGTTTCGACAACCGTCTCTCTGCGAATAGGGCGATTTGAAGTAGATCATCAGACTTTATTGTTTTTTTTTTATTTTTTTTGTAATTTCAATTTACTTGGAGGGGTCTCATTCAGCGTGGCCAAAATTACATAAATCTTGACATTATTATTTTATTTTTTTAAATATAAGACACAGTATTAACAAATATTAAATCACGCGGATTTAACTATTTGTTATATGAAATATAAAACACACCAACTATGAAATATACTTTTTTTTTTGTCCAGGGGCAGACTTTATGACAATAAAGTTCTCGCAATGATTAATTTCAATAAAAAGTTTGAATAATTACTATTAGTTTTAATAAAAATAATATTTCATACATTAATTTATATACTAATACTGATTTTAATACTTTTAATAATTAATACAATAAAAATCAAGCGAATAAAATACACCAATGACGATAACCATTTCAAAGATCATTCCTGATGAAAGGTAAAAAAAATCCTAATATTGTTCTTTGATTTTTTTTTTCCAACCGGTTTAACATTTAAATTGATAAATAAATTTGGACTTTCATAACACAGATTTATCACTTTTTAAAAAATAATATAAAAGTAATAATATTGCCTTAGGGTACTTGTTGCAGCTGTATAATGAAACAATTTATAAGACCGAATTTCTCGTTTGTTTTTTATTATTTATTTTTTACTTCTACACAAAACCCGTAGGATTGTAGGTCGGTTTTCGGCAGCAGGGAATTCTCGAATATTATGCAATTTTTCGAGACTATCGCTCTAGTGGTTCTAGTGGAACATGCTTCCAGATTCCAATTACACGAAAAAAAAAAGTTTGCACAACGACCCGAATTTGTGATTTCACGATCGGTGTTAAATAACATAATGATATTTTATGAAACCTCTAGCTTCTATTTTACAATAGCTATATAGTCTGTAGAGTCATTGCAGAAAACTCTAAAACAGCCAGAGACCAGTTCGGTTTGATAGGAAAAAAATAATAGTACAAATATAAAATCAAATCCAACCTAAATACAATTTGTATTTTATTGTAACACCTAAAGTGAATTAATTCAAATTGATTTTATGTTTTAAAATAACTATAGTAATTTTTAACCAAATAATTAAATCACTTTGTACGTGCTTATTAAATTATTAATAGTGTATTATTATTAACATGGTCCATTCTAATATTAATCGGAAAAAAAGCCGAAACGTTGAAAATCTAAGAGTATCACTGGTGAAGTTAATTCAACCTTAAATATTTATTAATACAAGTCCCTTCACCTTGAACAATAGTAACTAATATAATACATTTATAAGCAAAGAAATTGCACGTTTAAACATATATGAAATGTGTAAAATATGCTTTGCCATATAATCATATCAATAATACATTATATATAATGATGTAGAGATGGTTGACCGTGATATAATATGGGAAGGAG